ATCGATATTGTATTATATAATCTTGTATACATATTAAAGTGAGTACTAGAAGAAGATCTTAATATAGGAACCTAAGCCACTTATTTATACTTTTTTCAGCCCCTTGTACAGCCTATAATACATAGGTAGCGTACATGAAAATTCTAATTTGAAATCAATTTTTTGATTTGAAATCTATTTCTTTATTGATTCCAAATTAATATTATAATAAAGAAAAAATAATATTATATCTATCATTCCAAATTTGGATTAGCTTCTATATAACATTTCAAGTTTTTCTCAAAATAATAAATTGTTATTTCGGATAAAAAACTAATAAAGGATTTCTTTTTGAATAAAGAATTCTTTATTTTATTTTATAATAATATTCTTTCTTATATAAAGAATATAAGAAAATTTTCTTATAATATTGAATTTTTATTATTTTATTATAATATTGAATTTTATCATTTATTATAATAATAGAATTTATTATTATAATTAGTTCCCTTAATATAATGATAATATTAAGTGATTTAATTAATATTTATTTAAAAACAACACTATAGCTTTCATAGTTCAACAATATAATTAATAATCTAGTATGAAAGTGACTCACTTCAATCTGAATAAAAAGTAATATCATAGAATAAACTGACTTCGCCTGTAAACTTTCAATAAATTTCTTTTTTAAAAAACTTATAATTATAAATATAATTATACTATACTTTCTCAAAAAGCAAGGGGTCCGGGGGCTCGCAGGCTCCTGGTAAAATCTCAAACATTATTTATATTATTTGTATATATTAACCAATGTTAAATAATATATTAAAAAACTATGTTGTATAGTATATTATATTTATAAGTTCGAATAATATTTCAAAAACGAAATTACTATTTCCTTTTTATATTTAATAGAATTACAAATCAATCACTCATTATATTAATGATTTTATTATATATTTGAAGTTTTTCAGTTAAAGCTATATAATAATATATAAGAAAGTAATCTCAATAAATATTTCAAAAAATTAAATTAAAATTAAATAATATTGATATGTTTGCTTGTTCTCGTCTATGAAACTCAAAATAAAGATAGCATCAATAACATTAATAATATCAATTAGACCAAATCACTTGTAAAAAAATTTCATCCTTCTGATGTATAATTTTCCAATGTTTTAATTGTGATTTATTATGAGCTTTTAGATATAAAATACAAGGATAGTAAGCAAGCAAAAATAATTTTTTGAGATGGGAATGGAATTACTAAGAAAAATTCGACTTAGCAGGTGGGATAGCGCAAAATAAGCGAGATTTCAAGAAGTGGTTCGGTGTTCTGCAGCGATTCTCCTTGGCCCAGGTCCGTGATAATGAGAACACTCCTGAGAGGCAAGAGATACTGAGCTGACGGATCTGAGTTTCAGGAGAATTGACGGAGGGCTCAAAGGACTGCCAGCATAAATCTTGCAAGTGAGGAAGAGAGGGAAAGAATTACTACAAATTGAAACGTCAATGAGAATGAGAAGCCGAAGGAAGATGTAGAGATGATATCACCAACTTCTAGACGAACAGGCTATCAACACGAATTCTTTCACAATTTTTCCTACTCTCCTGACTCAAAAACTACCCTGTCCCAACTGGCTTCCATTCCAGAATCATGAATGATAATGATTCAACTCTATAATAATTTCCAACCAACCCTTCACTCTATGGTAGCAGAATCCGTAGTTAACAAAGTGATTGCTTTATCAATCATAAAAAAAAAAATAAGTCTTAATTCTGTATTGAAAAAAGCGTTTTTGTAATATTAATATAATTAATCAAAATCTATATATCTTACAAAACTTGTCCTAATCAATAAAATCTTAATAAAATTCTTGAATTTGAAAAGATATTAAATTTGAATCTAAAATAACTATTTTGAAAGGGTTGAATTCATTTATATTCGAAACAGATTATATTTTTATTTATTCAGTAGATTTAGTATTATATACTATAATAACAAAACATTTAATTTAACAATGAATCAAAAATAAAATAAACAAGCTTCTCTTTAAACTTTCGATTAATATTATTTATTTACTCTTTAACTTCTATGTTGATTTCCCTTCTTTTCCTTTTTAATTCTAATTCACCTTTTTGATTTGTTTCTAATTTCTATACATATATATTTCCATCTATCTTTTCTATGATTATTATTATAATTATAATATTCAAAGATCTTAAAATCTCTAAATCATTTTAAACCCCTTATTCTCTTTTTTCCTATTAAAATTCAATAACAGATAGATTTCAAAAAAGTACCGATACTATCAATCATTAATAAAATAGCTACATCATTAATATCATAATATACTGAATAGAAATTTATATAAGGATCTATATTGAATTTCTCTTTATCTCGAATACTAACTTTACTACCACAAGGTTATAACTTTATAGATCACCGCAACTCAAGCCAAATCAAGACAATACATTACATTGCCTTATTTCTTCTCAACACTGGGCTTTTCTTGTTTCACTGTGATCTTCCATCTTGTAGGATTTATTCCCTGCGGTTTTCTGCCCATTGATGTTCTTCCTAATACCGGCCTTTTTCCGATTACTGCTCGTCTCTTTGAACAAATGGGAATATTTATAATTAAGTGGTGATACTTGGAAATAAATAACAAAAAGATCAAAAACATTGTTCCATGGAAAGCATAGTATCATTGCTCGAATCAACTGGACTTCCTCACCGTCAGTAGATGCATGGAGAAGAATTGGTCGAAGTTGTTGTGACACGGAACGAGAAGAACATGTGCAATGCTAAGCAGTGAACTTGCTCAGTCAGAAAGCTGTGAGACAAAAAGTTATTGAGCTTACTATCTATGATAAGTAGTCGGAGATTAAGCTAATTCTGAATATAGTTCTTTGGCGCGGTCTGACAGAAATTAGAGTTTATCCTCTCATTAACATGATCATGCACCGCAAGCTATGCTCCCTAGCATGCGTCCACCTACCTCAACTTCCTTTGGTCCCTAGATATTAGGTTAAATACCCTCAGAAACAGCAGACTTGATTTCGAGTACACAAACCGAGTTGTTGCATAGATATTCAATCTCTGGAAGTGTTGTGATGAGCTAAGGAAATGCTAGAAGCTAGCCAGATCAAGCAGGGGAGCATCTCTACATTCTGCATCGTGAAAATGAGAAGAGTATTTCAGATTCAGGCTTGCAGATGGTCTCCTTTCCCCTTCTCATTCGACAATTACCCAGGTAGGCGGAGTAAAGGATGAGAGCGATTGATACAAAGGAGGATGACCAATTCATATACCACAACTTTCATACCATGATATTTGCTCCTGCCGTGTACGCCTTCACCATATACATCCGACTTCTACGCCAAATCCTTACTCTACGATGTCGGCAAATTTGAGCCCGACATCTTGTTCGTCGACAGCTGATTCTCTGCCATATTCTTCACCACCAGCTACATTTCCAGCTTACTGCCCTTCGATACCGAAGTTCCCTTCATTTTCCTCTTTACCTTTTTCCTGGACTCCATTTTCGCCCTATTTCTTGTAGGCTTCATCTGCACTGGCATCATCGCTGGTAAGTTTGATCTATACGGGCGACAACGCCGCGCGTGTCTCATCTGCAGTATTGTCAATGTTTTTTTTGACTTGATTGTGAGACAGGTTTATTGACTCTATCTTTGGGTGGAAAAACTAGCGAGTCTAGAAGCACAGCCAGGAACCTTGGGGACTCAAGTATTTATCTATCTGCTGCTTAGGCTCGTATTTGGGCTCGTCCTAGCAAAGGATTGTCTGGTAGAGCCTTTTTACTGTTTTCTTTTGATTCGAATATTGCGCCGGCTCCATCCTTGAATGGATACTTAGGATCTAATCTAGCAGAATTTGCTCCTTGGTCTATTGTCTCCTTGCTAAAGAAAAAATGATCAGCCATGGTGTTCCTTGGCTAGTGGCCAATATTCTTTGTGATTTTTGCAGCACTGCATGAAAATATTCACATCTCCTAATAGATCCCCTCATCACTATTTTCTTCTCCAACCACAATGTATTAGTACAATCTTCGACTCTAACTTTCCGGTTACTTCTTGCTGTGGTTGCGCCTCTACTTACCTAATCTCCCAGAAAGGGATAATGCCATCGTCTCCTTCAAACACAACGCATTTGCGGATTCCTCGGCTTTGAATTCTCTGTTACTTCTTGTATTGACCCAATACCTGTGAGATAAAAAGCACCAAGATGTGAATGCCTTCGAAAACTTTCATATATTTTGTAGACTTGTAGGAGTGTATATACATAGAGTAATTCTAGATATCAGATGCCTCGAGTAATAGTGAACTAGAAAAGAACAAAGGCAATTGTCAATAGTCTTTAAACTTGACGTGGATCACTTATTTCGGAAAACATATTTTGGGGTGTAAAAGAGAGTACTGCATTGAGGGAAGAGATACGGTTCTGAGTAGTTAGTCTCAAAGACAAAGCGCCTCACTTGTGCCTTCTACAGTTCTTCCCCCCCCAAAGTCTTGGCATGCATTCGGTTAAATTTTCGCGAAGATAACAGACAGTAGTTGTGTGAACAAGGGTATTCACTTCAAAGGAATGACTTCAATACAATGGCTACTGTATCAAAGGGATTAAGCGAATGCGAAAGAGACTAGCTCCTTCAGTAGTGCCTATATAAGGCCTACTACTTTCCTACATAGCTAGCTCTTTAGAGATAGAATACAATTAGACATACAGGACCTACGAATACGTGGGTGCTACGTCTTCCGTATCCTTCTCGAACCAACAGTAGTAGACATGTATATTACTTTGTCGTTTCGACGAACAATCTACAACTTTTCAAAGATTTACAATATCCAAAAGCTCACAACACACAAGAGACGACTTACAACACCAAGAGTAATCCAAGGTGCAATAACTCAAACTGAATTCGTACGACTAAATTCCATTTCAAGACCACGAATTGAGTAACAGTATTAGTCCGAGCACACCGAAAAACTTCATCATGTTTTATCTATTTAAGGATCGCACATACACCTTTCGTCTCCTGTTCATATCTGTGTCATTCCTCGCATTAAGATACGCTCAGAGATTCACACCAACTACTCGGATCGGAAATACTATTACATCTATCGTACTTAGGATCTTTAAATTCTTCATCATATATCAATCAATCAACACCATAGCCGATCTGGCTTTCGAAGTGGCCAAGGCAAACACCGCAACCTTCTCCAACATGACCACTGAGTTCGTCAATTTTTTTAGCAACGTGGATGAAGTCAAGATTTCCATGTTTCTCGCAATCATGATCATAATTCCATACGTTAGATCTGGATGCCCCAACGAGCTCCCCACAGAATTTTCACTTGTATTGTTGTTCATTGGTTTCATATATGTTGGAAGCAATTTCGAAGGCCCTCAAAACTACATGTTGACTTTCGTTTTGCTGATTTTCCTTGCACTTCTGGTGTATAGTAAGTCATAAATCTACATTCAACTCCTTGTAGATGATTTCATGTGCTAACTGATATCATAGAGACAGTGATTTCAACAGAGCTTCAAAATCGACATTCCAATAAAGTCGTAATGGAACCAAAACCGAATTAAGATCCTTCTATTTTGTGGGCTGTGTCATTCTCGACCGCACTCTTCCGATCTTTATCAATAATTTACATTAGTCTCTGAAGGCTCGGAGAGCCCCGCCCTCCTCATGTGATGACTCGGTTCATACATGCTGTTTCGCCGCTGGAGGGCATTGTTTTTGCTCTTAGGATATGTGATTACTTGTTGTTGCTGCACCACATGATCTATTTAGATAGAGTGACATAGGGGCTGACATAGTATAGTTCCTCTTTAGACGAAGGGGATAGACAGAATCACTATAATCCAATTTAACCCCTCAATATCTCTTGTACACTCCATGCAAATTCTGTTCAACACTCGCGAGCGTAGGCATTTGTAAATCTTTTTATATTCTTTAATTGTGTAACTAACGTCACTGGACTTTACTAAGAGATATCATTGTGACTTGTATGTTATAAAGGGGTTGACTAAGCAAATGTTGTAGTATTTCACATACAGGCCTACACCTGAAAATAGGGGAATAATCTGCTGAACCCACTCTAATTCTATGTGATAAAAAATGCTTTGCGCGACTCCTCAATCATCGATGAGATGCCCCCACTCGGGATGCATTTTCAGATCATCAAAGACTTAACCCTCAAGAGGATAATCAGCCTTTAGTAAAAAACAAAAAGATAATTGGGATTAAGAAGAAATTACAAGGAGAATACAATCAGAATGTATAATGACTTAAAAGATCATAGTCAATAAATTCTATACAAAACATTCACTAATCGCTTAATATTGCAATCTCAATCTTTAACCTCCTCAAATAGAAACACAGGTTACAATTTCGATGGAAGAATCAAGGAGAACAAGAATCACACCACAACAGATTTCTTGAATAATAAAAGAGATGGCATCCAACTTCATTCGCCGACTGCTTCAAACATTTCAGATCATACTGAAGAGGTTCCCATCAACTTTCTATATATTCTCAATTTATTCTACGAAGAGATTCTAGACTCTCTTGAAAAGATAATGTCAAAGAAATATACTTTTCTTAATTATATTGCATTTTCATTTCCTTAAGAACATCAAATAATCAAATCTTATAAAATAAAAATAAAAAGAAAAATAAGAAACATATTCTACTTGAGCAAATACTACACTATATAGAGAATTAGCTGTACGAAATATAAAATGGGATACTGAGAAAACTTTATCTGTATATACTAGATAATTGAAGAATAGATATTACAATTTTCATATAATCTACTCAGGCTAATCTTTTTCAAAAGTTAATCCAAAAATTCGAAGAATTTCCTATTAAAAGTAATCCAAACTCAATTATTTTGGAATATGATATAAATTCGATATCAAGTGCTATTACTTTTTTTTCATCAAGTTATGTAAATCAGAGGAACAAATCTCGCAATACAATCAATATCCATCAAATTGGAACATTCCGATTGATATATTCCTGTAAGAAGTGCAGTGCAATATGATGTAAACTGGGCTTACTTCAATGTAAAAATCTATTACAACCATAACAAACATCGTGATTTACACCATGATCAAGCTTTCGGAATGAAAGGGGGCAATCCGGCACATTGGGATCCTGTGAAATGCAAATCTCTCGCCCTTTGGGACATAATAATAGATGTCATTAAGTTGAACAATGACTTGAATTGACTGCTCGAGGTTTAGACGTACTGATCGGGATGTATTTACAGAGCATGCAGGATATGCGTTATCCACTTTATGTACCATACAATACAGAAACGCTATGAACAATTTTGCATCATTTATCTCAGATCCTAACTTTTCCCGTGTTCCAATTCAAACCACATTATACACAGGCAGTCGACCAATGCTCAAGATATCTTACAATCCAATCATCGACCTGTGTATAAGTTTGTGTGTATCAATTCCTCCATACCCCCTCCCATTCAACCTTCCAGGATATATGCATATAACCATTACCAGACCCAGCGAACTGGCCCAATGCAAACGAAGTACCACCCTATGTAATGCAATACCGTATACCATGCAGTTCCAAATCCGAATGCCAAAACGCCTCGCTTTATTTATTATTCCCTTCCCGATCCCGATGTGGAGTTCTTTGCAATATCGTATCATATATATCATTCGACTGGCAATGTCACATTGCCAGCCCAGCCATCTGGTCTCAAAGTCAAACAGACCCCTAAGACTCTTCTGCAGGTGATCCCCGAACAGTAACCTCACTATCCATCCATCGCCTTCCTACACTTGGACGACTTGACTTGCTATCTTTGCTGTCCTTCCTTTCTTCTGCGTTCTCAATTTCACTGCCCTCGCGTCTCTTCGCCCCCAAGTAATCTCCAACAACCCCGCTCTCCATCACTCCCGGACTCTCGAATACCCTACTATCCGCAATCGGCATCGAACTCGGCGTTTGTGTACCTCCCCCACTCAAATCTTCGCGACTGGAATCACCCATTAATGTATCTCCCAGAACCTCCATACTGTCACCCCTAAGCACACTCAATGCCCTCCCTGATCCTTTACCAGCCTTTCCAGTTTCAGCGTGTCCGTTTTGCTTCACCTTTTGATCCGCATTTGCATGTCCATTCCCAACTCTAAAGTCCAATTTCGCAGCAATTTCCATTTCTTCATTTTCCTGTCTTGCCAACCTCTCCACATTTTCTACCGTTAGTTTTTGTGGTTTTGCTGCTGGTTCAACTGCCCCCACGCCTATTGGTTCTCCATGCCCGTGTCCATGGATATGAATGTCACCATGCTCATCACCAGCCGCCGAGACCAATTTTTCATCCCGTAACTCTTTAGCCTTTTCCTCGAACCCCTCTCGTCTCGCGGCTCTCTCTCCTTCATCCTCTGGCTGCGGGAGTGTCAAACGATGAGAATTATTGCGCTCGCTTTTTGTGGGGCGGGGTTGTTCGAGGAGTGGCTTCGTTGAATCTTTGGATTGTTTCGTTGCGTCGACTAGTTTCGAGTCGGTTTCGAGTCTGGATGCATGGGGTTGTGGTTGGTAGGGCTTCTTAGGTGCATTTAAAGATGTTGGGGGTTTAAGTGCGTGGTTTTCGCTCTTGTCTATGGATTTTGATGAACGATTACGAGCGGTACTCGTCGAGGCGCGTCGGTCAAATCTAGAGCGTCTGTGTTAATATCATGTTTGACTGTCTGTTTCTACAAGTGTCGAAACTTCGCAAGAGGTAAAACCTTGAAGAGAAAAGAATGGAAAAGAGGAGAAGGCAGGGGAGCATACTTCGATTTCTCACTTTTCTTTGAACAGTTCTCATTATCCCCCTCCGCACAATCACTACCGCCATCATCAACCTCACCCTCCGAATTCGGCACTCTCCTGTTAATCGCCCATCTAACCAACATCTTCTCCAATGTTTTGCCCTTGACAGGTTTCGCTAGGTAATCATCCATGCCCGCCTTTTGGCACTTTTCGCGATCGCCTTGAATGGCTGACGCCGTCATGGCTACGATTGGGATGTTACGTGTCGAGTAATTGTAGGGGGAATGATGGCGTAATATATGCGTGGCGCGATATCCGTCTATGATTGGCATCTGCGATTCATTAGCGCAATGCCTTCGAAGTGGCAGCGAACCAGGGTAGCCTTGGGTAACTCACTTGTACATCCATCAGAATAATATCTGGCTTTGGATGAGGTGGGTTTGGAGAATCTGCTGCGAGAAGATAGTCGAGGGCTTCCTTTCCATTCCAAACAGCCGAAGGGGAAAAGCCCAATTTTCGAATAGTTTTCAAGGCAATTTGTTGATTGATAGCGCTATAAAACATGTCAGCACGGAGACCTTCATCTCGATGTGAACTTCTCTTACTTGTCTTCAACAACAAGAACTTTGACATTTGCCCTATCAGCAGAAGACATCTCTAGCTCTGACACTACAGGAGGTGTCATGCTAACAGACCGATGATGTTTAGACACGTCCCATGGATTCTTTTGAGGCGATTGGCCAACGTCATAATCTGAGCTACCACAAGAGACACTCATTTCAGATTGTAACCGATCTGGCAAACTTCCAATATCGATCAAGACATTTCCATCGTGATACTGTGGTTTGTTGAATGGGATCCAAAAAGTCGCCATTGTACCCTGTCCCAAAGATGATTCCAAAGTGATTCTACCATGCATCAAATCCACCAAATTTTTACTGATCGTGAGGCCTAGACCTGTGCCACCAAATCTTCGTGCTGTTGATGAATCTGCCTGACTGAAAGGCTTGAATAGACGCTTTCGTACTTCCTCTTCGATTCCAATACCGCTGTCTTCAACTACAAACTTCACTTCGATAGTATCTGCATCTTCTTTTTCTTTAATCACCGAAAATTTGACTCTTCCTTCACTGGTGAATTTGATACTATTTGTAAGGAGGTTCGTGATGATCTGACGAACGCGACCTGGGTCACCCATAACGATCAGATCTCTTTCAACCCCTACAGCAATGTTGGATTCAAACATCAAATTCTTTCGTTCGGCGGCGAATCCTAACATTTTGCTAACATCTCGTACCACAACCGACAAAGAAAATTGAACTTCTTCAATGTCTAATCGGCCAGATTCAACCTTTGAGAAATCAAGAATATCGTTGATAACTGTAAGAAGTGCGTTGGCAGAGCGTTGGATGTTTTCAGCACACTCTTGTTGTTCTTCATCGAGATTCATATCAGTCAGAAGTTCAGCCATTCCGATTACCCCCGCGATGGGTGTTCTAATTTCGTGACTCATGTTGGCGAGGAACTGACTCTTCAAACGACTTGCTTCTTTGGCAGCTGCTTCGTTGGCAAGAAGTCTTGTGTTCTCCCTTTCTTGCATCTGGAGATCGTTTTCTCGATCCTTAATTTCTGTTATATCCATAGACAACCCAATAACACCATCGATGAATGCTTCGTTGATGTGGCCGCCTCCGTCTTTCTTACCTAAAACGGGGACGAATTTTGTTCGATACCATCTGTTGTCGATCACGTGTTCCTGCATATCTTCCATTGTCTTTCCAGTCAAAATATCCTCGATTGGCTGTAGTGAAGAAGGGATCATGTCATGTCGTTGCCTTTGATTATTTGGGTTCGAGAAGACTTCATAGACATTCCTTCCAATATAATCACTTCCCTTAGCTTTACCACTGCCGGCAACACTCTCATCGCTAGATCCTACATCGCTGTCAAGATCCCATATGAAAGAGCCTTCGAGGAGATTAAGTTTGCGATGTCGATCCACTGAGAACAGTGTAACTTGAGCATGTGTAATGACGGACAATAATTGTTGACGAAGGCGTTTAGCTTCGAATCTTGACATCACAGCTTCATGGATATCCGTGCATGTTCCATACCATTTTTGGATTTTGCCAGTATCTTTATTCCTCATACAAACAGCTCGTCCAAGCATCCATCGCCATTCTCCATCGTGTTTTCTGCAACGATACTCGGTGGTATAAGGATCGCCAGTCTCCAGACAATGCAGCCAGCGCTTCTTTGTCAACGCCATATCATCTGGATGGAATGGCAATTTCCAACCCTCACCCAGAGATTCTTCAACGGTCAGACCCGTGTAGTCATACCAACGCTGACTAAACCAGTCATGCATGCCATCGGGAGTGGTGGTCCAAATGAGCTGCGGCATACTATCACAAATTATTTGGAATCTCTGCTCATCAGCCTCTTTTATTTCGGCGATCTGTTGCGTCACGGCTGTGATATCCCTACAAGTAACAATACCAGCCAAAAACTCGCCAGTATCTGGATCTCGAACTGCTTCTCCTGCACAAAGGGTCAACTATATTTCGTGATGTTCTCAAGGGCCTCTTCATACCTAAACAATCATATAGAACCTTCTCCTCAGTATCAGGGTCATACATCCCGAGCAAGCGGCTAGAAAATGGTGTTTGCGTTCTGACGAGAATTGAAATGGGATAATCTGCCGGATCTAGAGCCTCCGAAAAATCATGATTATAGCAATGCCACTTCTGAACTAAATCGAACCCTTTGGGATTGTCAGCATTACCATTGAAACATCAAGAATTGCACAATCATACCATTTTTAACCGTTGACATGTCGGCCTCTCTCGCAAACAGTCTCCTTGCAGCTTTATTGGGTATCGTCAAGCTTTCATCCTTCCACATGGCCAGAATAGGAACTTCTGTGTTATCCAACAATGCATCTTTCAACACGATTACTTTCTGTAAGATTGACGGGGCTCCTGATTTATTGACGCGAGATGGAGGACCCAAAGGTGGAAACGGAGAAGATGACATGGGTGCATTCGTAGGACTAGTAATCGCAGAAGAGCCACTAGATCCCTGACTTGAATCATGATTGGAACCATGTTCAGAGCTTGCGGATGATGGGTTTGAATGTGACAGAGAGCTGGAAGACTTGGAGTCATTGCTAGAACCTAGTTTAAATTTAGGGTTGTGAATCTTTCTCGAGCTTCGCTTCGGGCTAGGTAGTCCAGATTGATTAGTTTCAGTACTCGTGAAGGTCAAGAGAAAGTATTTTTCATCTTCGATTTCGAAAATACTAATGATCATCTTGGCATAAGAATCTGTATTCTGTTAGCTCGATATCCCTCGTACGACGTAGTGATCGCAGTAAATCTGGTAAATAGAGGAAGAATGTTTCTGAGCTGATTGTACTGATATGGCAATTCTGCTCAGGGTGTCCGAGAAAGTCTTGGACATCAAAGCCAACATCCGATTGTCATGTTTAAATATTGAGCAGTGAAGGAGTCTTCAGAAGAAGTCTGAAAAGACATCCAAATGTATGGAGCATAGCTGTCACGAGAATACTTACGTCTATCTGCCATTTTCTTAGCTATCCGTCCTGCAAAAGTGGATGCTGTGATCGACCCAGCTGTGATGACAACTTCCACTACCGCATCATGAACCATAGATGTCTTCTTTTCAGCGTGCGTCGCAAAGCGGTTTTGAGGATCGGCTCTTTCTGCAGTTGGTGTCACATCTCCTTCACATTCCGAAGACACCGATTCTTGTGCATTGCAATGGACATTGATTTCATCGCCCAGACTATCCAAGAACAAATCCCAGGTAACCCATACCGGCTTGAGATCTGACATCATGTCAATACCCAGTTGGGCGAGAGTTTGACCTTTGTATCGTTCTGCCGGTTGTTGGTCTTCTTCTGCTTCACTTTCGCCATCATTTACACTCAGTAGCCTCGCCGAGGCTTCGTTTGCGAGAACCACCGTTTTGGAGCTATCCAAGACAATTACAGGGTATGGCAGATAGTGCATAGCCGAAAATGCTACATCAGCAGGTGAAACCATTCCCGGTATGTGCAGATGCAAGTTGCTACTCTGACCGGATCCTCGTCGCCCATTCATGTATTCCTGGGCTTTCAAAGCATCCAACCCATCAATTTGCCCGGGAGGCATATGTAAAGGTGACATCGGTCGCTCATAGTCTGATACGGGGGTGCCTTTCGCAGTTTCATTTGGCGATACCAGGGGAGGAGGGAGGTCGATGTGGGTAGGGTGGTTGTCGACAGCCATGATTGAATAGGGACTCGGCGCGATCTTTGTTTGTGGTTTCGTTAAGATATCAAAACTTCCCCCAATCTCGTGATCCCATTCGATATTCTCGTCGAGTGTATGTATTTACTCTTCGTAAATTCTTCGTGGTTTAACGCCGCTAAGACGTCATTTTGTTGATACTAGTAGGTCGTAGGATAGGGATTTTGAGGCTGTCGCCACGTCAATCTGAGACGATTATCAATTGATTCAATCGTGCACACAATTAGGTACCTAGGTATAGAGTCTGGTTTCGAAAAGATGATATTCGCAAGGACGGATAGATTTGATTGATAGGTAAATTCATTTGATCAAGGAGGAAGAAGGAAACAAAATTTCACATTTGAGTTTGTTCGCTGGGTGGTTGGATGGCTGAATCCGGATTTCGAAAATGGACTAAAACGGCGTTATAGCAAGCTTGATGCTTTTTTCTTCGACCTAGACTCGAGACTAGAAGCATTTGGAACAGAAGGAAAAAAAATAGCGGAGAAAGAGAAATGGAGTTAAAGATTTTAGGGCAGTTGATAATTGTGTTGTCATTTGCGCGAGTAATATTATAGATACATTGTATTGTGCCTTTTCTGGACTGAGATTTGTTGTTATGTATCCTTGTTTGGAATCCCTCATACATATATATCAATTTGGGTATATGTATACTTTGTGTTCTGAGTGAGGTCTGAAGTTCAAGCCAGATTGAAGTGAAGTTTGGTTTGGTGATGAAGAGTGAAGGAAGCAATACTTCATTTATTTACCCACCTGCCTAGTACGGACTTAGACAGCCTAGACGCCTAGACAGACAATCTAGATTCTCGATCAAGAACTTTGTATTCACATTGAATCCCTTTACCTCATATAAAAATGTAAAATATCAATATATTGCATCGTCAAGCGTCTGTTGAACATATACATCATGTACATACACAAACCTACCTACCTACCTACCTACCTCGGTATATGTGATTTCTGTCTTTACGAGAATTACTTAGGGGTTAATGAGGTTTGATTAATTTGTCAGATCCTTTTTCATCGTGGAGTGAGCGGGTGGCCATGCCAATAAGTCAATGGCGAGTGATGAATGGATGTCTGTGTGGGTAGGTATGGTCACGGGTATCACGGTATGTGTGGTGTAATACCGCGAGTACCGGTAGCTCGTGTACCATGACCCCCCTTCTCGAGTCTGAAGTGAAGAAGCTACCAGCCTCTCAGCCCAGTCAGTCTCTTGGTCTCTCACCTCAGTCTATCAGTCTATCAGTCTATCAGACTCCCAGTGTCTCGATAATCCCTAGGATAACCTTCACGCTGTGATCAAACGTGATAACTGTACGAAAAGTCCATCCATTCTTTTCACCAGTTTTTCATGCGCGATATACCTACCCTTACAGTACTACCGCAGAGCATTTGAAACTGATCCATGCATGCAAGCCAGCAAGCCAGCAAGCATGAAGAAATCGAATTTTTTTAGGCGCCGGAAGGGTCTCCAAGAGGGTCAAGAGGGTCAAGAGGGTCAAGAGGGTCTACTTACTCAGTACTAAAGAGGGCTCCACAGCGCTGATCGGTCGGGTATTTAATATTTTGTGGGTAGATGGATTCCTATCGTCTCAGCAGAGATGTGAATCATGTGATACTATTGATACTGGTATTGATGATCCTGTGGAGATATCGCTCCCTAGTACCCGGTAGCTTGTCAATCATATCTCAATCTTATCTAGGTGGAAGGAAGGGTATTGTCTATCTGGCCCCCTCAAATTCCTGGTGTACTGGGTACGTATTAGATAAGCAAGCATTGAATGGATTTCCCAGGTGAATATCGGATTTTATTGCCAATTCAATCCAAGTTCATGACAGGGACGAGGAATGAAGTGGGGGTTGGTTTAGCATCGCTTGGGGTGGCGAGGGATGATTGCTATCCATCTTTTACGAGGTACTGGTAGATATTTGTGCCGATTTATATGGACGATACTTATGACTGAGGATCGAAACATCATTGCATGGTGTTTGTTACAAGAACTGTCAAACTCCCACATAGAAATTCAGTAGGTGCCGAGGTGCCCAGTACGTAGCAAGTGCTCGAATTCCAGGAGAACGTAGGTACCTAGTAACCTTATACGAGATTACATAATACCTTACTTAATACATACTAGGTAGTATTAAGGTGAAATACTAAGGAATCAGGATCCAGCGGATTTCTGTAGTGTCATCAATGGACAGGTAAAGGATGCTTTGAAGGGTGACGGCTACCTAGGTAATGGGTAGTAAGTAGCTCATGGCTCACGGCTCACGGCTCACGGCTCACGGCTCACGGCTCATGGCTCATGGCTCATGGCTCATGGCTCATGGCTGAAGGATATAACCTACCACGTTCCTACTACCCCGCGCTCCTTCCCCTTCAGGACCACCATTGGACCGTACCTCATGATTATGTCACCTCAATTCCAGCTTCTGGTGGTTGAGAAATTTCAATCTCAATTTTGATAAGATGTGATGTAGAACTGACCCACCGCTGGTCTGAATAATCGAGTCACGCAAGGCATCATCAACAAGACAACAGGGACATGTTCCACGACATGGCATTGCTGCAAATACATTGAGGGTTCAATGCTCATGCTTCTTCAATAATCTACTACATTCATATTTTCCTTCGTCCACCTCTTTTTTTATTACGCATCATGCATGACATTCGAACCACAAGAGCGAACTCGGTCAGCTAGCTATCTACCCAGTTAAAACCAAGAGGCTCAATGAACCTTGACCTTCGACTGATTGGTTATGTGTTATCTTATTTAGCCTGCCTTGGGATTAGGCTGCTATCTGCAACGCCTGCTTCTACAATCACAGCCTTGCACATACTTGAAAGAGAACATTTGCTATATTTTACTTTCACGACTAATAAATTGAATTTGGTTCTTTGCTCTCAAAGGCTCATCTTCAGCATGCCTCCATTCAGTTATGCTAGCTTACCTCCACTCGATTCGAGCACTATTCGCCTACTTTCTCTTGTGCCCAGTAGAAACGAAACCGCTGCTCTACAAGGCCAACTTCACAACTATTCTCTCCAAGACTCGGACAAGGAAACTCATTTATACGAAGCTTTGTCGTACGTATGGGGTGGCATCGATGATCCTCCACATTCTATCTATATAAATGGAAACTCTCTGTCTATCACAGCGAATCTGCATGCAGCCTTGCTACGTCTTCGAAATCACACTCTTGAACGAGTCATGTGGGTAGATGCTCTCTGCATCAACCAGCAAGATGATCAAGAGAAAGGTCTCCAGATTCAATTGATGCCGAGGATCTATGGCCAAGCAGCCCAGGTCATTGTTTATCTCGGAGAAGCTGCGGATGACAGTGATATGGCTCTTGAGAGCATAAGAGTTGCAGCAGATGATGAGAACGAAAAGCCGGGAAATTCGTTGGCCAGCAAAAGGAGCCAAGAGTCAATTCTCAGCTTGCTTAAAAGACCATGGTTTCAGCGCATCTGGGTATGTAAGTTTACAATTAACGATATATTTGAAAGTAGAACTTGGGGGTAGCGAACTATCTGTGGAAGTTTTCATTACTTCAAGGTGTTTTGCTTGTTTGGATGTACCGAATTATTCCAATTGTCTCAGCATTACAAGTATTCTGACTGTTCCGAGTCAAACGATCCCAATTAGTTCAGAGTTTCCGAATTGGTCAGACATCTAAGCTCTTTTGAATTTGACGAGTGATATGATTTTCGAAAGTGATCTAATCATTTAAAAACTGTTAAAACGCATCGAGGGACTTCATTTGCTGGAAACTCTCACTATGGAGGAACACTCGAAGAGGCTAACAGGAAATTTTGTAGGTTCTCCAGGAGGTTGGCTTGGCTCGAAGTATCCTGATCATCTGTGGTTCAGTGGAGATGAACGGGTATACGTTCTGCTCGGGTATTAGCAAACTGGAAAGTTTACTCAAAATTTATGCGGATTTACAAAGTTTGATCCGTCCAACGATCCACTTGATAAGAGGATCGATTTTTCGTCCAAAGTACAAGTCGAGTTCACTAGGTGAACTCTCTCTAGCTGAGCTGATCGATATGTATCATAACCACAAGGCCACAGTACGTCACGATAAGGTGTATGCCTTACTTGGCATGTGCTCTGATCATTTGAGCTCGACTGGCTTATTACCCGATTACACGATTCCATGGGAGACACTTTTTCGACGGCTTGTCAACTTCATCCTTCATCAAAGTATGTCTATAGAGGCTTGGGATGACAGGGAAACAGCGGTAATCAAGAGTAGTGGTTATGTTCTAGGACATGTATCTTCGGTAAGGAATGCCATAAATCGATATCCGGGCCAGTACATAGAAGTTACATTCAACAACAGACCAATATCTTTTCAGTACTACAAGAATTATGGGGCACATTGGATACTCCAAGCTTCTGCACAACCCATTCGACAAAATGATATTATTTGCCTTCTAGAAGGAGCTTCAAACCCAACTGTTGTTAGAGCATTCGAAGACCATTTTGGTATCATCATGATTGCAGTCAATCCACGCCAACAAAGACATAAACATAGCTCGTTTCAATTGTCTATGTCTCCGACACCTGATTACTCGCATGAATTTCTACTTGTGTGGCAATGGGGATTAATTTCGGGACAGCATTCTTCGTTACTTCAATTGCCACAAATGGAGATCAATTCTGTAGTTCCGGACTATTTGAAGACTAATGCGATCAGAGCAATGAGATCATTCGAAGTGGCACTGATTCTAAAAGACACTGGGGACCTTCTTATGGTAGAAGTCAAGCTTAAAAAAGATATCGAAAAATGGGAGAGATTGTTTGGAATAGACGATATACATATCTTATCATTAAAAGAGGTACTTGCGTCAGTATACTGGAGCTCTAATCGGTGGAAGATGGCCGAAAACCTGCTTTTGGAGGTGATAAGGGCCAGACAATATCTCCAAGGCAAATGCCATCAAGATACTTTAAATAGTAAAATGAAACTTGCAAATGCTTATATAGACGAAGAAGTTCTTTCTAGGCCGTCTAGAGCCGAGCAGTTGCGGGGTTTCAGGACAGAGTTGTTGGAAACAATCAAAAGTGATAGTCGAATTGCAGAAGGGGTAATGGTACAAGCAGCAGAGTACCTTGATGAAAGAATGTTCAAGCTTTTGCTCGGCCTCGGAAGAGATAGTGTTCCAGTCACAAATGATTTAGTGAAGGCCATATCAAAACCCACAAGAGGCGATGGAAAGATGCTTATCTTATTGGAAGAAAGAGGAATGGACAGCGAGATGACAGAAGAGATGGTACAATTCATCGCCAAGAATTGTGGCCGGAATGCAATGAGGTCGTTGATGCAGAAACGCAGCGCTCATGTGAAGATTACCAGCGAGTTGTTGAAGACGATCGTCGAAGGACGAGAAGCTATCGAAAAGATGGAATTGCTGCTCGGTGGAAAAGGCGCGGATATATGTGTTGGTAACGGGATATTGGCGACTATAGCGCGACTGCACTACCCGAACATTCCTGCGATCATAGATTTGATACTAGCAAACAAGGAGCGAATATGGCCATTACAGAGGAGACTGTGATCGAAGCAGCGGGAAATATTTATCACGGGGAAAAGATTATCAGAAACCTACTCACAAGACAAGGGGCGAGTATAGTCATTACAGAGGAAATCATGATCACTGCAGTAGCGAATATACACCAAGGGGATACCATCATTAGAGAGTTATTTGCACAACAGAAAGCAAATATAGTCATTACAGAGGAAGTCGTGATTGCGACCATAGAGGATATATTTCATGGGCCAAGATTCATCGAAGTGTTACTTGAAAAGCGAGGAACATATATCAATATCACACCAGGGGTCATGAAAGCAGTATCAAAGAGTCAAGAAGATTTAGCGAGTTTTCTTCATGGATCAGAACCGCATAATGCCGTAATGATGCAGTTACTTGAGAACCGAGGAGCAGATATGGACGTTACAGAGGAAATGGTCAGGATTATTACAAATGAAATGGATTTTCCGAAGGAATCTCTGGCGCTATCGGTCGAAAAGCAAGGAGAAAAATTGAGAGTTACGGAAGGAATGGTGAGAATGATTGAAGAAAAATTTCCCGAGGAGATCGCCCTGTTGGAGACGATGAAGGACAACATTCGGAGATATAGCAGTGGTAGTACTGGTAGCGCAGGCTAGCAAGCTATTCAGTTAAGCTTTCACATGTCGGATTTTGGGGTTGGATGTACTCAATTGAGGAATGGTTAATGGATTTCTGTGTACCTATGCTTATGGATGGATGTTTATGGATGCTTGTGGATGGATACCTATTGTGTGAACTATGAACTGTGAAATGTGAGATATAGGTATGACTATGGAGGTAGACTGTGCAAGCAAGCAAGTAAACAAACAGGAACATTTGAAGAAACAGTTATTGAGAATTGCGTGGCGTCAGTCATTAATTGAATTGGGTTTGAAAGAAATGCCGATTGAATCCGTATGTGCTATTTATTGCATGCATAAAACCTGGGAATAAAGTATGAAAAATCTCCTTTCCAGTCCTGAACCTTCCACCTTTGCTCTCTTCCGATTTCTTTCGCAAGTCATTCTACTGTGTGTAGATATCCTTCCTTCCATCGATCGACTTCCTCTCCTCCTTTCTCCTCTGTCACGATTCCCTCGTATATCTTCCCATCCTATCCGACCCAATTAAAAAATCCAAGTAAAAGACTTCTTGACTTCGAATGAAGTTTTTTGTCTACGAAAAAGCCGAACATCATTAGCACACGTACTCAAAAAAGAGATCCAAACAACGACACAAGCAAAATAAATGATCCACATACCTGATATCTTCCGCACTAGCGCCAACCCAAGCCTCAAACTCGCCCTCCTCCGCAATCCACAGCCCTTTCCCATTTCTCAACGATTCATCCCAGTATCCTACTGCGTATTTATCAATCACAATATCGACGATTTTTTCTTCTCCAGCTTCAAGCTCTACCTTCGCGAACCCCTTCAGTTCTTTTTCCGGTCGAACTAAGCTGCTCTTCACATCATGGATATACAGTTGCACTATTTCCTTTCCTTTCCTCGATCCCGTGTTTTTAATGTTGAGACTTAGGATGATTTTATCTTGATTCGAGGAAGAGAGTGTTTGGGAGGAGAGCGTAGGAGCGGAGTAAGAAAATGTAGTGTAAGAGAGACCGTGACCGAAGGGGAAAAGAGGGGGAAGAGATAGATGGTCATAATGTCGATAACCGATGTAGAGACCTTCGCCATAAAGAGAACGGAGGTTTTCGCCAGGCCAGGTGTGGTAGGTTGGGTTATCTGAAAGGCGGACTGGGAAGGTTGTCTATTGAGGGGAATGATTAGAACAAGTTCTGGGTATGGAGAAGGAACAGACACAAAAGAAAGATGCAGCGTATCGAACGGATACAAAACTTACAGGTAGTTTTCCACTGGGATTTTCGAATCCGAAAAGGACATCAGCCAATGCATTACCAGCTTCTTGTCCCTGATACCACGCTTGTAAAATGGCTGGAACCTTCTTTGCCCAAGGCATCGTCACAGGGCTTCCGGATTGATTGACCACAATTGTATTTGGGTTCGCCTCCACAATTGCGTCAATTAATCGATCCTGACTTCCATCACTGGGCAAATCCATAGTTTGACGATCATAACCCTCACTTTCCCACTCTGCATCCAATCCTACGATTACAATGGCTACATCAGAAGACTTTGACGCATCAATAGCTTTTTGCAAATAATTCTCAGCATCCGCTTCTTTGTAACCAATGCGGCAGCCCCCTGTTGCATGGGTTTGATTGACTTGTGCTTGTTTGGACAGCGGTCGAATTTCATTTGTTGTTTCAGCGACCAATTGTACTGGGACATTGGCTTCGAGAAAGATATCAAAGAGAATATCCTTTGACCCTGAAAACATAGCTTCACCCAAATCCGTCCAATTCCACAAATCGACTTTGACATCTCCATTTACAAGAAGTCGTCCAGGACCAACACTTGAGAAGGAGAGGGTATGTAAGCCGGTGGTGGTAGGCGTCAGGATGGTTTTTGCTCGAACGGACCAAATGGGATTTACCTCTTCTGGAACCGAATCCCAAAGGAAAAGATCTGTGTTGGTGCGGTGTTGAATTATTCGAGGAGTTCCTTCAAATTTATCGCCAATATGAAATTCGAGAGTTACGCCTTGGGCGCCAGTGGAAGTGGTACAGTAGTCTGCTGCTAGAGGAAGCCATTTGTAGGTGTGACACCCTAAGGCGTAAGTGACATCTATTCCAGGAATTGCTTTGATGCTATCAAGGGGTATAGTATTGTAGTAAGGATTCAAACTAGCACTACCTCCACCTCCTGCAATCGCGCGATTGGCATTTGGTCCTATGACTGCAACTTTCGTTTGAGAGGATTTGATTGGTAGGATATTATTCTCGTTTTTCAGTAGGGTTAATCCTTCTACCCCAGCCTGACGAATCAAACTTCTGGTTTCTTCTCTATTGTCCTCAGCTTCAGGAGCTTCGGGTGTCATGTCTGATCCTTTTGTCCGTTCAACAAGATACAGTACGTTTGCGGCGGCTTTCTCAACGGCTTCTCGGCTTAGTTCACCATTTTTGATTGCTTCGATCGCCTTTTCCCCACGCCATTTTGTTGAGACTGGCATTTCTATGTCGCAACCTGCTTCGATGGATTCAGCGATTGAGTTCGTTCCACCCCAATCGGACATGACCAAACTATATTTTGTAAGTACACTTGTATGCCATAAAAAGTTGGAGACAACATTACCCATCGTAGTTCCACTCTTCCCTTAATATTTCCTTCAGCGTGTGGAAATTACAATCTGCATGAACGCCATTGATTAAATTATAGGAGGACATGACAGCCCAAGGATTAGCTTCCCGAATGGCCATCTCGAAAGGTCGTAGATACAATTCTCGCAGAGGCCTTTCTTGTACAACAGAATCAATGGTTAATCTGAATGTCTCTTGTTCATTGGCAACGAAATCTGTGTACATAATTAGCCAAATGCACGTGACGAAGCCGTATAGAAGAATAGTTTTACGTTTTATTGTTGCTGCAATACCCTTCTCCTGCAACCCCTTGATGTAAGCGATAGCGAGTTTTCCCGTCAGGTAAGGATCTTCCGAGAAAGATTCAAAATTTCTTCCACCTAATGGACCGCGATGTAAACAAACTGTCGGTGCCAGTAAAACCTGAGCCGATCGAGCTTTCGTTTCATCTGCGAGGTGTTGTCCGACTTCATGAATAAGATCGGTGTTCCATGTTGCCGCTAGTGATATACCGCATGGAAACAATGCGGCCTGAATATGTTAGAAAATTCCTCTTAGTGGAGGTAATTGGAGCAAACCTTTGTTCCAGCCTTGAAAATGGCTCCACGAGCACCTATAGTTGGTGTTAATACTAATGTGAGATGAAAGCATGGAGGAACTTTGTATCGTACGGACGAATTTGAGGGAATATGATTGATTAGAAAAACGTAAATATTTACCATTTGGACCATCGGATGTCTTGAATGCTGGTATGCCTTTGGAGGGAATTGATTTTGATCTCCAGAAATCTGCAGCCACTAGTAGAGAGACCTGAGAAGTTCATCAGCAGGGTGCAGTTAACAAAACAAAGGAACTTTACCTGCTCTTCGAGCGACAAGGACGCAGCCAACAGACGAGATTTTGTTCGAAGATCAAGGATAGCGTGCTTTTCCAAAGGACTTTCGGGAGGGGAGATTTCAGAATCTGGCGTTGCAATTGTGTCTCTACTCGAAAGGACATCCGACCCTTCTTCGAACCTGTCAAATATAGGATCCGAGATCTGACTTTCTGGTGATTCTGCCATTTTGGCGTTTCAGTTAAACGATTGAAGAGGTTTTATGGAAATACAAAATTGTATAGGAAAGTGCTCTCGGGATATCAACGAATGAATGAAGAATTGATTGATGCTAGCGTGCCGCGAGGCAGAGGAGTTGCGCCGCGTGTCTAATGAACAATGAATCCTCCGGATATCAAAGAAGAGTTAGAATGACTAGATGGAAATGGAACCAAGAGATGTCTTATAGAGCTCAACGCTAGAGTAGTACGCGAGAAGCAACCTACGTTACATATCAACTCGGTATCAATCTTTCCAGAGACCGACACCCGATCAGCTGGTTTCAATTAATATTCCTCATAGCCGGTGCCCTGCGGATGAGTTTCCCATGCACCGCACAGGGAATCAGATAAGACGTTATAAAATATTACGAATATAACATGGATACACTTGTCCCATGCATGAAAATGGCTGAAATGGAATTCAATATGGATTCGGTATAATGGTTGCTACAGGCTGGTGCTATTCTCACAACCCTGCACACCTTGCTAGGGATTGTTGGTGCGACTGGTCCTTGTGAGAATAAGCTTCTATCAGATCAATGATAATTTTGCCCAGTCTTGGGCAAGAAATAATCGACAATCCAATAGCAACAACGGTATGAACGGACCGGCTCAGCGATTTTCTTACAGTTTAGGAAGGTAAGACAAGCTGTCCCAATTGTTTTCGTGAGAGACACTAACGGAAATCACCTTGCTATACTAGCAGAATGTAGGAAATCATAGTGGAGAAAGAAAACAGGAAAGAGATTCTATCAACTCGAGCAAATACTACACGTCCTCGCCAAAATTTCAGCTTGAAATGAATATCAGGAGGCAATATGCAGAGATCTCGCCTAGGTAATGTAGTGTATTCACTTAGGTGGTATTGTCACGTCTTTCTTCGAAAAGCTTCCCGAACACTGCATTAAATGCTCATGGTGATGAATACTCTATTGAGATGCGTGTGCATCTGTGAAGCGGACATGCGGCCCGGATTCGCCTCCAATGAGCTTTCGTTTGTACCATAAGCACGATCGTAGATTTGGGGATGTATAGATACGATCCGAAACTTATATTGACCACTCGGAAATGTATTGATACTCACGACGGATAAGTTCTGTATAGATCTCAATGTTATGGTAGCTTCGTTGTCTGAATTTTATATGCCGACGTCGAGGCTGGTAAGAGCGTGGGAAGTTGAATCAACAACGATGTAAAGAGAATACTCGGACAAACGCTTGGACTAACCAATTATGGATAAGTTCCAGAAGCATTGAGAAGAAAGTCACGTGATATTTCCTATCAGTTAGCGCTGCAGTGGAGATCCATTATCATTACCTATTCGGACTACTCGGAAATCCGCCCGCTTCAGATAATCAGAATTATGTCTCTTACACCGCGATGGCATTATCAATTGTCATCTTAAAGCGTACTTTCACATACTCTTCTACACCTCAACCTTCATCTCAAGTGATACTTGTACTCTCATCGGAAAGACAGGAGTGAAAAAAGTTTGCTTTATTTCTCAGCTTCAAGATTACTTACTCAGTTACAACTAACAGTAATACTCAGGTATAATATCAACTACCTGTAATCCTATCTTCATATTTGAAACTTTCCTCTTCAAACTTGTCTATTTTTCACCCATGCAAGATCATTACAGTTCGTAAAACTTAACTACCAGAAATTGTTCTAATATCTGCAGATCATCTTGCATTTACGCCTTCCGAATATAATGGCTGAAACATCAAACCAACATCAATCTATTGGAGAAGCCGAAGACCCACTCGAATTATCCTCACGAGAAAGAGATCAATGGGAATCTACTGAACTCTCGGAATTGGAGCACATCAGGCAGAATTATACACACGCCTCATCTACTCATGCATTGGGTCCTGGTAGTACAGCACCCAATGGAGTTTTTGGTCAATTTGTCTTTAATGTCTCGAAGTTTTGGAGACACCAAATCAGTGTGACCGTTGACCATGTTGCATGTAGAGATCATCTCGGTATGTATCCTTTTATCCGTTTTCTCGATATGGTTCACACGATCTATCAATGACAAGGTATATTACCTTTTATAGAATCCGGCGTTCAGGGCCGAAATACTTCTATTAGTTAGGAGTTCATTTTCACCCGTCTTCTTCCAGTCCTCTCTACATCAAATTTTCTGTCAGAATTCCTTTATTGAGCCTTGGCATTCTGTACTATCTCTAATCAGTAGTTCTTGCTTCGGTATAGAAATAATCGTTTGCTCTACATGGTCCCCGTTTAGCGTTTCGTCGACGGACTTATTGGCTAATTCTATCAGCTCTCGAACGCACTTTCTTAGCATATCTCAGAACCTCACTAGCCTTGTCAATGTTAGGCGTATCAATTGCACAACTATTGTATGTTTTCTATGCAGCTTAATCATACCGCGATCATTCTGTTGATATATATCCAGCCGATTACAGCATTCCCCCACACCAAATCCTTTAATAGGGTTCTTCGTGCTTGGAAAGCCTCTGGCTTGTATATGTCAAGGTGCTGCAATAATAACTTTACTGGTAGGAAGTATCAGAAGTTGGAGACATCAAAATGCTATTGTGAGGGGTAAAGCACTTTCAGGAGGATTTGAAGTCATTATCATCGGAGTTGGATTCTTCTTTGTCAGTAAACTTCAACAGTATCGTCATTGAGTGAGCGTTACTGACTAAACTTAGATCTTCCTAGCGTTCCTTGTGCTCTTGATCGCTGTAGACATCATAAAAGAGCAGTTGAAGTCTGATTAAGTGGCGATGTTAATTAGCTGACCTCTGGTCTATCGAGATGTGATGGACAAATGACCTCTACTTCGGACCTCCGGACTAATATTTCCTTGGAGCAAATCATTATAGGTCTGCCCATCTGACTTCGGTTTATCAGGGGAATGGGGAGGTATATGTTAACAGCCAAGAACACCCCGCTGTTGCACGTGCAAGAACTATATTGGGAGGAGAGGAGTATGGCTGATTTTGCTCTTAGGCACTAACTGCCGAACAGCGGGGGTTAGATGAGCATAAAGTTGATGCTATGCTATTGCACATGGGAAACTGTTCATGGGAAATTATTGATGGATAATTTCAATCTGCATATGTAGCAAAATAGCAATAGCACAAGATGCGGAACATTTATAATATGCCCAGGGGTTGTGATGGGAATACCTGCACCCGGATGAGCAGTGTTTTCGGCACGGCGTTCCTTTTTTAAAGTTGTTTATACAAGGGAAGAAGTAGCGAACCATGATACAGAATAGCAACCTGACAGCTCTCACAGCACCTTGACTTATAAATTTATGAAAACTACTTTATCAACAAGTAATTCCATGACTATTGGATTGCTATTGATATATTGCAGATGGTTTGAGTAACATGTTGTTGTCGTTGTCTTGCATCCATAGCTGACATCGATTCGACTCACTCCAATTGTTTTGCCAGAACAATCAAGTAATTATTTGATTGGATACATTTCAACCTACGACTATACTATGGAAGCAAATGCGATGAGTCTCTAACAACAGCCACTACTACCACTAACACGACGACAACAACAAAACATGCAAGACCAGGAAAATGACTTGAAATCACGTGATATATCATCACATGCATTTCGCACCGCAACGATTGTTGACATCCAATGATCTTCTCCATTGTCTCTTATCTTGGCGGCGATCTGTGTACGCCCTTACCTAGGTAAGCTCGAGGTATGTACCCAGTATTGAGGCAGTGAGCCTTCACTCAAGAGCCTTCACTCAAGTTTGACATCATCAATTATACTTTTTCTACTTCTGACTTTTCTTAAATTTCGGACTTTTCCGACTCCTCTGACAAATCTTCTTTTCTTCTGTTCCAAATTGATCTCTCTACTCTAGACTCGAGATAGTTACTCTTTTCATTCAGACCATACCACATTGATTCTCCATCCCAATTTATTATTCATACCGTATTTCCCCCTTTTCTTTCATAGCAAAATTCATTACAGTTGAAATACCGGCTGGTATTCATTGATCAGCCATAACCGCACTATTGGGTACGGAACACGCATTAGATACTTGAACACAAAATCATAATTATTTGATAACGGCTTGGCTTGGTAAGGATCCGAAATCGCAAGCAAGGCAAGCAAGGCAAGCAAGGCAAGCAAGCAAGACATCTCAAAAATATTGCGATACACAAGAACAATCATAACCACAAGATATTGAAAAGAGAGAGAGAGAGAGAGAGAGAGAGAGAGAGGGGCGTCATCTTGAAATCATCGGGTACCACGCCACATTTCATTCCTATACTTCACGCTGTACCAGTACGATTACAAATAATACTTCTTCAGTAAATTCGCCCACTCTTTTCTCCCGTCCTCTCTTTTACCCAACAACATACGTAAGTTACTGGTAAAGAGACACACAGAGAGAAAGAGTTCACTCTCTTTATATCCTTCAAAGATGGCGTGGTCAAAGTCAACACGCATTTCGGTCATGCTATTGATCGATGCCGTCTTTTTCATCGTAGAATTGGGTGTTGGTTTATGGGTTGGATCATTGGCATTAATGGCAGATGCCTTTCACATGGTGAGTGCTGCTGATAACAAGGCAAGAAGTGTATTGACTCCAACATTTACATAGTTGAACGATATTATCTCTCTCGCGGTTGGTCTTTGGGCTGTTAAAGCTGCGCGAAGAAATACCACGGATAAATATTCTTTTGGAGTAAGTCGTCGCACAATACACACCAACCTTTACCGAACGGAAAGTTACATTACCAAGGCTAGATCCTAACAACTTATGTAGTTTTTAAGAGCAGAAATCCTTGGCGCCTTTTTCAACGCCGTATTCCTTATTGCGCTTTGCGTATCCATTGTTCTCGAAGCCGTCGGACGTTTCTTCGATCCACCTGAGATTAGTGAGCCAAAACTTATACTTGTTGTTGGGTCGTTGGGATTGGCATCGAACCTGGCTGGATTCTTCGTATTAGG